AGCACTGTTGAAAGTTTCTGATTCAACAATCATTTCTTAACATGTAGCTGTCAGACTTTCTAATAATCTTTGAAAGTGCTTAAGTTAACTCTTGCAGAATATGATAACAAACCAACAAGCTAACTCTTGCAAAAAGCTAATCCTACCAAACCGACAAGCTACTGATGACTTGTAGCTATGTGCTAACAGCAGAGTGTAAACAATGGATTGGTAACAGCTGAGTGCTAACAGCTGAGTGCTAACAGCAGATTGCTAACAGCAGAGTGCTAACAGCAGAGTGGTAATATAGAGTCAAACAGTCGAGGATTTGGTCAGTCTTTAAACAGTCCCAGTTTTTCTTCCACATAATGACTCCCTGCAGCCAAGAAGGCTAATTTTAGCTGCAGCTTTTTTTTCTCTGCTTTGTTTCTAAGTTTTGCTCAGCTTCCTGCCCACGTCTGCTTGGTTTGATTTATTTTTTCTTGTATAACTCTGACTTCTTCCATCGTTCAGATCGTAGCTTAAAAATAAATCCGGAAGTGTTTCACTGTAAATCAATGTTCTCTCTAACGACTAAACCCGGGTCAGGACCTGCAGGACCCGATCCGCCTGCTCTGACACAGGACCTAGCGTTGGAGCTGTCAGAGACCCGCTGGAACCAGCAGGTGGGATAAATGAGGTCCTCAGAACTGTTGGCTGGCCTTCTTTCCTGACCGGTCTGAGTCGGAGCCAGCACTCTGAAACCCAAACTGTTCCTCCAACAGAACYAACTCGAGTCGAGCTGCTGGAGTGGCCTGGAAATGTGGCTGCAGCATTTAGCTCTGCTCTCTGGGGGGATATTAACCGTTGGACGTAAATCAAACCTGAAACGATGAAACGACTGAATTTAAAGCTTCTTTTAGTAGAAATGACTAACGAGCTGTTAGCTCCCTAAAAACCAGGGGAAGACATTCTACAAACATTACGGCTTTTATTCTTTACTCTCCTTCTTATTAGAGGTTCGCTAAAGAAAAGGCTAATGTGGTTTTATTGAGAACTTAGAATAGAATAGAATAGAATAGAATAGAATAGAATAGAATAGAATAGAAAAGAATAGAATNGAAATTCAGGTGTAGCAGCAGCAGCAGATCAGACATACATACATAATCCACAGAAACAATACATTGCTATGTGACATTATGAACTGTAACAATAAGAATAGAATAGAATAGAATAGAATAGAATAGAATAGAATAGAATAGAATAGAATAGAATAGAGTACAAACAGCCTGTATTGTCCCGCGTCGGGAAATTCAGGTGTAGCAGCAGCAGCAGATCAGACATACATACATAATCCACAGAAACAATACATTGCTATGTGACATTATGAACTGTAACAATAATAATAGAATTAAAGATAGTAACAAACAAACATAGAATAAAATACAAATAACAATAATAATTACTGAACCAGACTATCAGTTGAAATAAGATAAAAATAGAAAATGAAAGCCAGATACTGTGCAGAAAAATACAAAATTACAAGAGAAAAATAGATCTGTTAAATTGAGTCAAACTCAGGGGTGTGCAAATTGAGTCAAACTAAGTAATTAAGTTAGTGTTCTAGTATAGGAAAACAAAGATGTACARTTGCCACAGGTTATTATTTATGTAATGATTGAGAGGTAGAGTTGTTTGATGTGCAAACACAAACATGGATGCTTATCATGATTGTTAGGAGCAGTGTTGGTTATAGAGTCTAACAGTTGATGGGAGGAAGGATCTTTGATAACGCTCCTTTGTTCATTCAGCATGCAGAGGTCGGTCACTGAGGGAGCTCTGTAGCTCAGCCACAGTTCCATGCTTTAGGTGGGAGACGCTCTCCGTCACTGGTTATTTTTAGCCAACTTGTTTGTGGTAGTAAAATATTACGGTGTCTGAAGCTCCTCTGCTGACCTGTAAAAAGAAAAAGAGACTAAATGGATTTAGTTGGATTAAACTGAATTAGTTTCAGACTTTTTTTGTGTTTTGTTAGATTCAACTGAACTGATTAGTGTCTAAAACCAGTTTTTATTGTTTTAGCTCTTTCAGTGAAGGATAACGAGTTAATTACGCTGAAATCCTTTTTTGGCGTTGATCAGCATGGCCGACAAAGACCCTGGTTTGATGGTAGACCATCAGCAGGAACATACTGGTAGGTGGTCTCTGCAGGGTCTTGGTGAGACCTTTAGACCACAGTGGGCACTGGTTTTTGTGGTTAATTGACTGTTGGTTTCTATGGATTGGGTTATWATTGGATTTAAATTAGTTTTAAACTGATTTCTTTTTATCTGTGTTCTTTGTTTTTGGTGCTATAAATTAAACTGAGTGGTGGGCGGAGGTCCTGGGTGGATTGTGGTGGTCCTGGCCTCGACCTGTGGCGGTAACGTGACGGTAGCGTGTTGTGTTTATTGTGTCTCGGAGCTGAAGCAGCTAAAGAGCAGCTGCAGACGGACAGAAGTCACCAAACCTCTGCACCTGTTGTCTGATTGACAGCTGGAGGTGGGCCGAGTCTCCACATGGACCACAACACCCCCACAAGTGATGACATGTTCCGAACCAGAGCTCCGGTCTTCATATTAATACCACACACACACACACAGACACAGACACAGACACACACACACACACACAGACACAG